CACACATCACACCCGGGCCCCTCTTATAATACATGTGTCAATAAAACACTTGTCAACACTCTATGGAGAGGGTGGGATTTAAATCGCATTCGGATTAAGCGATGCAAAAAATTAAGCGGATAGTTATGTCGGGTGCTGCTTATATGAATAAAAAAAAGTACACTATATAAACGCGAAATATCCATTGGTCACACAATAAATAAGTTGTCAACAAGTACTCAGCGCTTTTTTTGTATCCCTACAAAATGTATATAATTATTATTTGTCCAAGCTTCCACACAGATGTCATGCAAAATATGATAAAAGCGACATACTTCAACGTACACTGCACACATATTACTATAGCGGTAGTGCAATTAGTTTTACAATTTTTGCTGAGCCTTAAGCCTGACTATGTTATTTCTGGGGTAGGTAAACATGAGTATTTTTTCCGTGTAAAGTTTCTTTAAGAGAAATCTATTTAACGTGGTGATAATTAACCTACAAACGACTTTGATAATAGATAAATAAAATAATATATTAACGCAGAGGAAACGACGGCGTGTAACTCGTATGTGCATTACAAAAGGGTTAAATTCGTCGGTCGGTATCGACCTTTTGTCGTTATTGCATTAGGAATGTCCGCAATACATAATAATATTTACATGAACGTGTGGTGTCGCCACGTTCCCACGGATGAATAAACGCACGAGAATAAGGAACGCATGAATATTAAATGGCAGTTTTTAATTATAGGCGATTTCCAGTTGCTTCTGTGTACGGACTTCCTGGGTCGGCCGGTGTCAAAAGTTAACTTCCCTGTATAAACCGCCGACTTGTGTGTGTGCCCCTATTGTTAGTAGTCAGCGCTTACCCCCGGGTTATATACCTACAGTACATTATATAGTGCCTCGGCCGGACATACACTGTGTATTATAATATTATGTACAGCGTATGTACATATACAAAATACATATATATATATATATATATATATATATATATATATATATCTGTATGATACACACATCGCACCCGCCGCAGGTGGCCGGCGCAAAACCCCCGCCGAGCACAGGGAATACCACCTGACCCCAAAGACCCCTATTAAGTTGACACAGGTAAATAAATTTCACCATTATAATATTATATTATATTATCGGGGACCCATATATGAACGTATGTTATATTATTTTTATTAAATTAGTGTACTATATGTATATAGTATTTAACGTTGGTTTACAATGTACCTAAGTATATAATAAATATACTTATTGCAAGCGTGTAAGCATATACACCGTGTATAGGTCGAAATCGTACCGGTTGACAGTGAATTTATAGATTTTACTGGTTTTTATTGATTAACATAATGCGTCGTTTACTGCGGTTTGAAAGGTTTGCAAAACGAGTCGAAAAGATAAGTAACGATAATAGATACATATATAATAACGAAAAGATTATATAAGATAAAACCTATAAGACCGCACCAGATTTATTCACTTGTCCCGTCAAATAAATTATTTTATACAGTTAACATAAATGACATAATGCATATTAAAAATCATATGATTTTGGCGCTCTTAACCCTTGCACAAATCAAATCATAATATTTTTATTTTTTTACTTAATTGATTGCCTTCCGAGTATCATGTTATTTGATATTCTATAAAATTTAGAAATTAATATAATTTAACCAAAATAATATGATTATAACATATTCGTTAGTTACCAAATACAGCGAGATTTATCGCTTACAAATTTATCCGTAATAATTAACGACATTTTTATCATTTCAATAAATATTATTAATTAATTAACAAATGTATAAAGCTAAAAAAATAAAAACGATTGTTAATTCAAAATACATCCTCAGATAGTTGGCTATAATTTAACACAGTAAATCTACTATGGGTGTTGTGATATTAACAATGGCGTTTACTACCTTGTCTTTTGGTTGCATTAATAATGTTTTATTATTAAATCAACAATTATTTTATAGATACAAACTTCGTCAAATCAACCACCTGAGTTATGTTGGATTTACCGCAAGGTAATTTGGCTTAGTGGAATTACTATTCTTAGTATAGGGTGAAGAAAGGTATTTTCGTGGCATAAGCAATCTCGTGATATAGTTTGTTGATGGTATCACGTAATTCCCTATTAGAAAATTGTCTTGAAAATCACACTGATTCTTAAAACACAGTTATTTTAACAATCAGTGTGATTTTCAAGACAATTTTCTAATAGGGAATTACGCGATACGATAAACAAACTATATCACGAAATTGCTTATGCCACGAAAATACCTTCCTTCACCCTAGAAGTAAAAATTGTAAATCGATCAAATTGGATGGTAATTTTTTTAAAAATAACATTTGATATGAAACAAAAGCAAACATTAAACGAATACGTTCAATACTTAACGCGTTTATAATACTCATTTAAATACGGATATTGAATACCGTACACAAAAAATAATGCACAAAATACACAACACTCATAATATACTTCACGGTTGTGTATTGCATGAGAGTAATAATACTAAATCGACTTACATATTTAATAGAAGCGATAAAATAATGTTAAATCGCCATGATCGTGATCATTTGTATAAGACTACATAATATTTTATTAAGTAAATTAAAGGTATCGCATTAGGGTGTAAACGATTCGTTAAAAAACGATAACCAACCGTATTTTATTATTATTATCGAAACAAATAATTGTTATTTGTCTCCGTTTTAATGATAACGGTCAAACTCGCACATTAACACAATATCAATATAATCGTGCTGCGGTTAGTAATAAAAAATATATTATGTGAGTGTGTTTGTGTGTGATCTCGTCCACCGTATTAAAATATTATGGCACAGCGTAGGCATTGACCGTGGAAATTATTTTAATGATAATTAAATTGAATTCTAAAAATGTATACATTACGCAAAAAAAAAAAAAATTAAAATCAGGAGATGGACAAATTATATTATATGTATACATTTACTATACTATTACTTAATATGGTTGTACCTAAAGGCTATATATAAACGCTGTCGTCGTCGTCGTTGGTGCGAGTATAATATCATGGTGAAATCCATTACCCTATCGGTAACAATATAATAATATGTTTTGCATACATAAAACGTATTATCATCTAGGTACAAAACGACGAGTGACGTTATCAAGCATACAATTATCATGTTGTTAAACATGACAAATCTTATAGATGTACTACTTTTTTTGTTTTGACATTAATCGTTTAAGCAGGGTGTTCAAATTAACTATTGTACCTACATGTTTTGGAACGCTTTTTGTCCGATTAATATACACAGTATAGGCAAACAAAAAGTACCCATTTTTTTCATATTTAGAGTGATTACAAAACGTACATGTTCAGGGTAATAATGGTGACCACAGAGAACTAATGTAAGTTGTAACACACAATTATTGAAATCGTTTTAGGGTCTTGCGAATTTCTGAACGCGTGTTGGGTTAGGAACGATGGGTTAAGTATGTACAGATTGTATAATATAATAGCGGTCCGTGGTAGACCGTGTACATAATATATGATTTGCCACGTAGATTTATTACACGCGCTTTGTTGACAAATCGGCGGCGGCGGCGGCAGAGCTCGTCGACCGTGTAAAACGTTTTCCCTGTACACACAAATTATACACTGAAAATATGCCCAATTATAGGTACTTTGACTAATATGCGGTGCTTAAAACGTCGCGGTTTCCACTTTTATATAAATTAGCCTTCGTGTATGTATTATAGTATTTTAAGTGGCGTATCTGATGATATAATATAATATAGTGGTCTCGGTAAGCGCGCGTTTACAAAATATAAATATTATAAATCTATAATCGGTTTCGATCAAACGCCAACACAAAAGTCGTTTGACACGAAGCTCATAGTGTATATATTTTTTATTTATAAAATACATTTAGGCATATTATATACGTATGCATAATATTATAACATACGCAAGCTAGCACGCCCATATACACAATATTTGTAAATATATAAGCAGGCTGAATGCATATGCATACGGTTTGCGTGGGGTGAAAAATTGAAAAGCAATATCGATAACAGCTAATTTTTAAAATCAAATAGATAAATCAAAATGAAAGGTAAAAATAAATATATTATTATTACAAAACTTGATATGCGCACAGGGTTTAACAACTATACAATGCGAAATAGGAACCTGTATATATATATTTCAATTTATTTCGTATACATATAATATATTTGTATACATAATAGTTTAAACGTATACCTACGTTACAGAATTTTTATATATTATATCCTCATGCCGCAAATATCTCAATTTGATTAGAGAGCAAAATAAAAATTGTACTTCCATTAGTTTTTGCAATATTTCTTTCAAAAGTTTATGTTAATTTTTAAAACTAATATATATATAAACACATTAATTAAATAAATCCTCTATAATAATATGACTTGTACTCTCTCTTTTGAATTTCATCATTCCCATCTATAATGTTATATTATTTTTGAACGTTTAAGTAGAAGTTAGAACCCTGTGTAAACGTCTAAGATTCAATTCATAACTTTAACAGTTTACATAAAAAAAAGTGAAAAAGAAGGAAAGCTAAAATTCTAAAAAAAATTTTTGATTGGCACCTGAAAAAGTATGTAGACACACAAAAATGCTCTTTCTGAATTATTTAGTTATAAGTACAATTTTTCACGAAATTAATGAAATTTTATTCATTGTTGAATTAGAAAATCCACGTTTTTTGCCCACCAATGTTAAAGCTCGAAAGATTATCTCTGTCATTAGAATCGGCGGTGAACCGAGTGGCGGTGGGGCCTCTTTTGGTGATGAAGCACCTCTCGATTGGACTTTTTTTTAGATTAATATCGGGCGGCTAATTGCTGCCTTCTCCAAAGAGGAAGTTTTTATAAAATATATACATTTTTGTTGTAAAACTCCTCCTTGACAAATTCTAGGCTGCTACACTGCTTAGAATTATAGATTTGATAACGACCAAACTCACGTGCGTCGACGTCAGATACGAATCGTCCGAAATGTTATCGGTCTCTTGGACGGTTGTTGCGGTCGGGGTCGTTCCATCGGGTCTTCGATGCTGCTGTATCTGCTGTTGTTGGAGATGGTGGCCCTGGTTGTCGACGTGACGGCTCTGATGGTAGGCAAGGTGGTGGTGGTGTTGGTCCCAATAGGACGACGTCGGGTCCATCATCATTTTTGAAGGCGCGAAGAGCGTATTCCAACTGTATGTACAATTTTTAACGGCGGCTTGACATGCGTGCAGCGTGTGTGTGTGTTTGTAGGCGAAAAACGTGCGGCGCGGTGCTCGGACGGACCGGCTATGGTCGCCGGTATAATAATATTATGTTGTCGAGTGTGTCTATAAAGTAAAATATTATAGTATTATTATTACTATTATTTTAATCTGGCGGCAAAAGAGAGGCGCGCGAAGTGAAAAGTTTGACGGCGGCGGATATGTTGAGCGAACGGTGGCGACCACGACGACGGCATAGCACGGCGGACAATGTGCTTGTGTATGTGTATTTGTGCTTGTGTATATTATGTGTGGGATCTGGTCCGGCCCCGTACGGGCGCGCGCCGTTGATAGGTTGATTACGTCACCGTTCGCCCCTGAGTATGTGTGTGCGTCTGTGTGTGTTTGTGGTGTGTGTGTGTGATAGAGATATACCCGTGTACATTTGGATTAACGACAAATTGCCCGGGGCGCCACTTTTCGCATAAAACAACCCTAAACACTAAATCCGCACTCGTCACTCTCCCTTCCCCTAACTCTCAGTCTCTCGATACTTGCCGGCCGGTTATCGCACCGCCGAGCATACCTACAGTGCCCGAATACGTAGGTACAATACGCAGATTACACTGGGACACTTTCATACCAGATAGTCTTATGATAATAATAATATTATCGTTATTGTCGTTTGTACCAGCCCTCGGAGCCTATGGGAATTTATTGAAAAACAATATTATTTTTAGTACCTACCAAACATTGTTATCGATATAAAATCTGTATTACAGTTGGGAAAAAACAAATTTAAAATTGTCGAGTTAAAAAAAAAAAATGTTATCTAGGTTAGACAAATTTTACAATGAAATAATTATTTAGTTAAGATAACATATTAAATTATAATATTATACCTAGATTATATTATAATATATGATGACCTAATAAAAATATTTAAATGGCTGTGTTTTCTAAAACTTTTAGGTAATTTTCGCAGAACTTAGATAATCAAAGCAAATTGTTTTGGTTCGTTGTGAACTCGATTCCTTGAAGTCATCAAAATTATTCAAATCGCTTCGTTGCTAATCTACACTAATTAACATTAGTAAAATTATTTTTGACAAAAATAGAAAATAAATAGACAACATAAGATAATACAATGAATTAGTATTTAGTGGTAAACAATTAATTTTAATTTTTAAATTATATAAGTCATAACTCATAATATACACGGAAAAAATACATAATTGGTCCAACTAAAATTATGGTTAATATAAGGACACGATAAATTTCTATTTGAAATAACTAAAAAAATATTTTAACCATAATTTTAGTTGGACCAACTTTGTATTTTTTTTTCGTGTAGGACGTAGGTAGTATAATATTTCTATGTTTCCATTGTTATAGCTAGGTATAAAAATGATTTTTTTAATAAAAAATATATAATATTTTGTCTTTTGTCGTCTTGAATATTTTTATCGATACACAACAATGTTGATATAATATTGACAACTATTATTAGTGGCGTATATACGGAGGGGGGGAGGGTCGACATAATTCCCTCCCCAGACTATAAAAAACCGTATTAAAACAGCCAATAGCCAATAGGCAATAGGCATAATGAAATATAAACATGTCATGAAAAACCTTTAAATATATTAATGTGTCATTTAAATCTCTAAATCCCCCCTATTAGATAGTTTAATGTACGCCACTGACTATAAATTAAAATAAATAATTTAATAATAGGTATATTAGATTAATATTTTTTATCATATTGCTATTATAATAAAATGACGTTTTGCTAATTTATAATAAAAATTAGGTAGTATCTATGTGTTGTGATAAATCTAGTGTGTTTAAAACTCTGAAGTCTTATAGGTTTTATCCACTGTTTTTTTTGTATATTTTCTGCATCGAAAAATTGACTATGCTTTTCTCTAAGGTCAATCGGTGTCCCAAAGGTACGAATACCTGCATCAGCAGAAGGGTAATTGTCCGTAAATCATGGCGTACATGTCGGTCGGACATGTTGTGCCGGTGGCGCAGACTTCGAATCAGCTCAGGGACGAGTAAAAAAAACTGCCACAGAACGGTAATTTGGTTTCTTCAAAAATCAAGGAAAACGTCGAAAAATTGTATGAAACATTCTTTAAGTATAGTACTATCAATATTCGTCGATCAACCAAAAAACCTTTTACCCAAGAAGGGGTGAACACTTTTTCTTTATTTCACTTTTCTTAGGGAGTAGTTTTTTATTAAAAGTCTTAAAATTAGACTGAAGGTAGATTTTTAGCAGGGCTATAACACACAGTTTTTTTTCAAAAAACTGTAGTTTAACTTTTCTTTTATTAAGGAAAAACCCAAAAATATAGGAAAATTATATTTTGACCGTAGTCAATTCCCAAGTTTCTACGTGTGAGTGAAATACAGGTCACTGCACAGGCTTTCGTTTAATAAAAGATTTCTATTTCTAGAAGTTTTTAAAAATAAGTGATGTTCCTTCGTTTGTTGTTATTGCTCTCAAGTAATGCAGTAGTACTAATAAGTATATAATTATTGCCTGCGTTGTAAATTTTTTTTTTTTTTAATCTGTTGAAAAGCTTAGAATATTTTAATTAGTTATTTGAAAATTAGTTAAGTACTTTATAAAAGTTGTACAAAGTAAATTTCAAAAATAAAAATAACAAATCGTTCTATAGTGAATTTGGAGATGATGATAATCTTAACAACAACAAACATGTTTTGAAATCCGTTTGGTAGTTATTCTGGAAAGTGTCTTGACGTTTTATAACTCCGTTTCGGTTTCTCTTCATACTGTTTTACCAACTTCAGACTCGTATCGAAGAGTTTTTTTTAGCGTGATTTAAAACAATGATTTCTAAAGACTTGTAAAACTTTACACACAAAAAAAATGTTAATGTAACTTTACATTTTGTTGATCTAACTATTTAGTTATTCCAACTTTATTGTAAACCTATTTTAACTATATATTTTCTGAACTTGGTTAAATTTAAATTTGTTAAATCTTTCTGAAAGGTATGGGGATGGGTCAAAGATATGGAAGCATACCTTTGTGTATCCGCTCTTGCTCGCCTTACTGCGAGTGCGTATGTGCACATCAACTGTTTATAAGTGAAACCGCGAGTGAATTCAACAGTTCCTCTACCGCGTCCCTATTGAACATATAGAAATATAATGCGGTTAGGTCATACTTGTGCTTTCATATTTCGACGGCCGAAACTTTTGTTTGAGTACAAACGAACTCCAAGGGTGGAACTTTAATCCTTTTAAAACTTTCCCCAACAGCTATCGGGTCTACCGTCCATTCCGTTTTCCTAAATACCATAACCGTCGCCGTACTGTATTCGAACGGTGTTGTGTTATAGTTATGCGTGTGTATACCACTGGCTGCTACACGTTTACACCTCCGGCCACCGTTGTATTATTTACCATTATTACCACAGTTATAATTAACCCCTATTCCCCTTGCTCGCATCACAGTACATACACACTCGTTGGCCCCCGTAGGTGTATAATATATCCGTGTGCTGTACGGTGTACCCAAATCCTCCACGGGGCTATATCCCGCCGACCCTATTGCGCTTACAAAGTTCAATTTTACGCCGAACTTTCGCCCGTCATGTTGTCGGCTAATTAACATTTTATTTATCCTCGCATAGTCCCGTTTCCACTCCCGTCTCTCTATATATATGGCCAGGGCGCGCACCCTTGGGCTATCATCGACGTCGACGGCACCTTTGTATAATAGTATGCTCCATACAACTCCCGTGTATACTGTGTATGCGTCCAAACCACTAGGTATAAATACATACGCGAACATATTATACCCGAAGGAAACACCGCCTGCAGTTATACACGCTTCGTAATGATATCATGCATGCACGTGTACATGATGCTTATATACATACATTTGTACAGAATATACACTATATATATATATATATATTCATTGTAAAGTATAACTCTTAATAATGTACTCTATATAGTGGTCGTTTTTGCCTTCCAACGACTCCCGTCGTTGTCGCCGTCAACCGAGAAAATTCGAGACGTACAGACAGACACCATCGCGTATGTATTAATAATAACCTATCATCATAATATTATAATATTATTTTCTCACCGACGTGTTTATAACCGCGGTATACTTAAATACACAAACTACACTATAATATGTACGGTCCACGGAATGTTTCCTTGTATATGTGTATAACAAACACGCGCAGTTTTGTAACCATTAGGGAATACGTCTTAACCAAAATAACAGTAAATCCGACAAAATACGAGGACTTCTAAATATAATATACACACGTTAAAAATTTGGACGCTTTCATGTTTAAAAAGTGTTGTAATATTTTAAATTTAGCAATCAGAAAACAGAGTTATACAATAACAAAAACAACAGGGAGGAGGCGGCAGCTTTAAATGAGGATAATATATTATAACTGGCAAGAAATAGTATGGAAAACATAGATACTATAAATAATAGGTGATATAGTATTAACACCTACTTAAGTTTTTACTCATAAATGTTGAACGGTCAGAATTTAAAATGATGAAGGTTATATAATGTATTCAGTTATAAGAGTGAAAAGTTAGGATGGGAGGGGAAGTGCGCGCAGATAAAAATAAAAATACGCTTCACCTTTCCTCCTGCCCTAAACTTGAAACTTCAATAACTTCAAAAATAGTAATCGACATAGAAATAGTGGACATAGTCATAGAAATAATGGTTATCGACCAGTCAACATTTTTAGTACATTTTTCTCAATTTAAAAAGTTAATCAAATATACGTTACCATTTAAGTTTGTGGAAATCCGAAATGTGTTCAGGTTATAGTAGTAGTTGGCAATTTCGAAAAACTCTTTACTCTAAACTCTAAGAATATAATTTATAATTCCTACATAGATGTATAATACATATAGTATTTTAGTTAGTGCAAATTTCTGTCTATTGTTATACAAATTACAAACAAAAATCGTTTAACATCGGTTCAACAACAAATGTACAAGCTCGAAAGTTAATGAAAAAAACTGTAACAAAACTATATAGGAACACCGTCCATTATCCGAATACATATAAATACAGAGAGCACTGTTTATATAGATGATCGTAGGTACTCTGTTTTACAAGCTGGGCTCCCATAAAAGCAACTGTACGCCAAACGGTTTTTAATCGAATTACCGTGTACCGCCATTTCCTGAGTGCAAGCAAGAGGGTAAGGGTAATTTCCTGAAAACTCATTTATATATCTATACATACACCTGTTTTGTATAAATGTATATGTGTAGGGTTTTCCGCAATGCGTTTGGTATACAAAGATGTTATATACGTTGTTGTATAACAATAATGAATATAGGTTGGGATTATGTAAAGGTGTGAGCCGATTTAGCTGACCGTTTTAATTATACACAACAGTGGCTGATACGTTTATACTGAAGCTTTTGTTATTGTACTGACTCGCACAATGGTTTTCATGGTATATTTTCGGCTACTTTAACGGCTATTATAATTTAGAATTATTTTCTATTTTGCATCCAAACGCTATAGCTTCTGTTAAGTAGAATAGGTAACTGGTACCCTACATATAAAGCAATGTATAATGTATAATGTATTTGTTGTACGTGTAACGTTGCACTGCTGTGGAAACCAACGAGGCTATAGAAGTCACACTTTCGAACATTTCTGAAATACCTTTAGTAGGTAAACCTACACAAAAGCCGCCTGTAAGAAAACTCATTTGTTTTATACGTGCAATCCTGGATTTTATCTATAGTTTAAACGTTAAAAGCACTGAGCTCGTTATGAACCTATTTATGAAGAGAACTGTATAATAAACAATTGTTTTCGAAATATTACCTACTTTAAAGTAGAATAATTATGTATACTCACGAGTAATGACGATTCTTCGTTGGTAATTAGTCATTTTATCTGGCTATCACCTGGGCCCTTTGGGACTTTTTCAGTTACACAGAGTGCGTTTTTCTTAATTCTTGGTTTACATTGGTTTTAGCTAAAATATACCTATAGAATCGAAAGATAATGGCGTTTTAATGAAAATGACATATCTTTGTTCAACATATGTATTATTTAGCTTAATACTCGCTGTTGAAAACACAGTCATTTGCTAATTTTTTAAAACAGTGCTAACTTTTTTCTAGAAATAATTTTTATAAAGAGAGTTTTTGTGTTAAAAGTTAAAACTATATAAGTCTAGTAAAACGCATTTTGCATAAATAGGTTTTTACACCTTCATAACATCTTCTTAATACTGAGATTACCTAAAGATTTTTATATTTTATTGGAAACGTTTTTGCCATGCCGCACGTGATGTCCGATGATAACAGTTTACGCTTACCTACTTGTTGAATCGTCAATTAAAAATTTTTTTTTTAATACCCAATGCGTTTAATAATTATTAATTATTAATTACCCATCTATATTCAATTGATGAATAATAATAAAATTAAAAATAATAATACCGGGTATCCCGTACCTACCAGCTATAGGCGCAACCGAAAAATACCATTTATCAAATTTGAAAATTAATAACGTCATGAAAAAGTATTTAATGTCACGATATTGTAATTCCAATGTTTTATAACTATTTATTGTCATGTGCGGCTAATGTTGAGAGCCCCTGTTTTCTGTTCAGTGTTTAGACAACGCGCGATAAAGATGCGGCCTTAACGGCGTTGTCATACTGTCTATACAACAATTTTGGTTGATAACGCGCCTGGTGTTATCACTTATCAATAAAAAATAAATGTATCATGACGTTTGAGTTGGAATAAAATAATATATCAATGTTGTGTTGTGATTTATTAAGTGATTTTTTTTTAAATAATTGTGTTTCGTGTTAAAAAAGTACAAGTTTTATATTTAAAGAATAATATGTCGTTGCCTAGTGAGTTAAGTTTAGAGTCTGTACGAGACTTCATGATAACGAACGGTGGTAAAGTAACTAACCATGATCTAGTAACTCATTTCAAGTATTTTTTGACAAATCCACAAAATAGAGGTAAAAGTGATTATATTATGAACAATTTTCATTAAATGATTAACAAAATTGTTGTTTAAATTTATTATTTAGTGGAAGCTAGGCATCAGTTTAAAGAGATTGTGAACACTGTCGCCACCGTTATTCGGGGAGAGGATGTGAGATAATTATTGTGAACGTTTATAAAATTGTGAATCATCACTGATTTTAAATATTACAGGGAGAAAAATATTTAATGCTGAAACGTCGATTTCGAGCTGCTGGTTGTGTCGGATTATCGCCAGAACCATCAATGAGTACAGCCTCATCATTGACATCTCTGACTTCCTATCCAGGGTTGTCTTCGGTACATCAATCATTATCACAGGATTCATTAAATGATCCGACTAGGTTTAAACAGAGATCACCAATGAAATCTCCATCTATGAGGTATGCTTTAAAGAAAAACACATTAAAAAAAAACAAATTATTTCTAAAATAAAAAATATATATTTACTAGACAACCTCCTCCATATCGACCACCACCATCACCATCTCCATCACCTAAAGAATATTCTCCGACTAAAGAAACGGCACCACCAGTTCCACCCAGGCGTAAGAGCGCTGACAAAATTCGATTAGGTGAATCAAATGAAAACGATTATGATAATTCAAAAGCAAACGACGTAAGTATAATTTACTTTATTGGGTTTGGATTGGTGTGTTATGATCGGTATTCACTTTTATTGATTTGTTTGAATTTTTTAATATGGCACACATAGTTTGTTTGCTTATAATACAAGTGTTTTGCTTTTGCGTATATGTAATATTTAGAAAGAAAACGATCAGCAGCAACAAACACAGATAAGTGTTAAGGATCGTACAAAGAAATTCAACCGAATGGCTTCAGAAAGCGCTTTACAAATAGCTAGTCTACAGCCATCGCCTAATAAAAAGAAGATAGATAAGGTAATGTCATATAAATTTATTGTTATTTGTTATTTTAAGTTTCAATTAAGGTTATTAGGTAGAGAATGTCGGGTCTAATAGGTTATTTTAATATACTCAGTATTTAATTTTGCATGAAGTATGACACAACAGAAGTGTTAACTCGTTTTAATTTTCATATATATCAATCTATTCTTATAAAGTTAAAACAATATAAAATTTAATTAGTAGTGAAGTTAAATAAAAATATAAAGTTTAATAAATTTAGTGTTTCAACAACATTTTTGTTCGAGATTGAATGATGATTTTAATGATCTTTGTAGTTGGTTGGCATTTAATAGAAGATATCTGGTGTCGCCAGTTTTAATTGAAATTTTATCATTACTACTTGATTTAGTAATCATAGTAGTACAGTTTTAAATTTATTAAAATTAACTTCTTTTAATATTGATATTAATTTAAAATAAGTAAATATTAAAACACTAGAATAGGATAGGTTAGGTTAGGTTAGTTTGGTGACTTTTTTAATAACAGTTGCTATAGATTTATTTATTTATATAATTAATTTTACTTAAAAATTTAGATACGTTCTTATTGAATATCTAATAAAACTCATATTTTGCTAATTCTACTTATCATTCATAAAAGTGGCATCTTGATATTACAATAGTCTTGAGATGCTAGCAACTGATGTATAATATAATATTATATTGATGCATGAGTTTAAAACTGCAACGACTCGAATTTGTAGAAATGTTAGAAACAATAAAGCTATCCTCATTTCCCTGTATAATTTAAAGAAAACTAAAAATTTCTTTGAATAAATATAAACTGCAGCAACTGATGAAAATCAATTTTTTTTTTTATAATAGCCTTTATTGGGAAATATGATGGCTAAAAATTCAATTTTAAAATCCCAAAATGTGTACAAGTAATAATTTTATGTAGGAAATTGTCTTTTTGAACAAATTCGAGTTGATGCACATATTAACTAGACTGTGTATGTATTAAACTTTGTAATGATAGAACATTATACCTAACATTTAAAAGAGTTCAACACACAACTGACTGGCTTGTGTAACAATGGTTTTACTTTTGAATGTATTATTTGCATGTTGTATGCAAACATGGGGATAAGAGCAGACGTGAAATATTTTTTGTGGGGAAGGGAAATCATTTGCTCGTTATTAAACATATTATTTAATATTATAATTATGAGTTTCAATTAAATTTTGTAATCTATGTAAATATCTAATTATAATTTATACAGTTTTATAAAAAAAAAATTAATGGCGTTAGATTTTCATTAAAATAATTTATATTCAATATATTTTTATTGCAATTCCTTGGAAAAAAACAATTGGTTTTAAATTCGTCTGATGAGATAACGAATTATCTGTGAGGTAGTGATTACGTAATTTGTATCATATTTTAAACTGTTGGTCCAATTAATGTTCATTCATAGTGAACTTAATAATATATTAGCGTGATAATCTGTGTTTAGTAAACACTTAACAGTTGATGGAACCAATTCGTTCGAACTGGCCTATTTATTTTTCGTAACGAAATATAGGTAAAGCGCGTTTTATTTAAAATCAAAAATAACTAAAAGTAGAAGGTTTTTTTAATGTAGTTTTTAAATAATTAATAAACCGTATATCTTTACTTTTATAACTCATCAATCATAGCTCTATTTCTAGAAAATAGGACCAAATCCATTCAGTACATCGGTAAGTTGGCTTTAAATTAAAATGTGTTGTATTGAGTGTGTGCTTTTAATATTATTTACGATTTTTATTTATTTCCATTTTTTCTTTGCTTATAATTTTTAAAGTGGGATTCGGTACGTATAGGTAACTCATATAGGTAGTCTTCGAAAAAGTTTTATGAGCTTTTTTGTAAAATCAGTTTAACATAAAAATAAAGCTCTTGGATGCTTTTTCTAACAACTCCACCCAATACCTTTTGAACAAATTGCATACATTTCTTTTTTTTTATTCTTGTATAAGCATCAACAGCTAAGGTTATTAGTTAACAACAACAATTTTTAATTGTACGTCAATATGTATTTAATAATAATGACAGTAATTGTATTGGAGAGAGTTTTTAATTGTTTTATGTCCAGAATGAATAGCCCTGCATCCCATAACTCATAGGCACTGTTATTAGTTAGAATATAATTTATTTATGTTTTTTAAATTATTTATTCTATCAAACTTGAGTTAGGTCATGCCTTTTAGATTGAAAATCATCACGTAAATCTTGACCTTTGCTACTGATTATATCAGTACAAAGAGCTAATACTTCGGATTTAAACTATAATATACCTGTTATAAATTATTGATATGATTTTATTCTGATACACTCGGTTCACCATTACTATAACGTATTATAGAGAACAATTATATTTGTCGTTTGTAAAATCGTTATCATAGCTACATACTACTCTTTACTACTTAAATCAGTATCTGATACGTTTATCTATATCGAGCAACATGTATATAGACGTCATTTTAATTGTCAAAGTATATTATTTAATTTTACTGTGTTTTTTTAAACATTTTATATTGAGGTTATTTGTGATCATACAAGGTGATTCTTTTATCATGGGCCATTCAATATCTCACTGGGTTTAATAAATGATTGAATTTTTTTTTCATAGTGTTTTTATATAATGTGATCTCAATTTTCCACAAATTATTATGTTTCTACTCCCCTCCTAAACTAGTTTTAATTAAACTAGTAATAATTCAATTAATTAAATTAACTCAGTCAGATATTGAGTGGCCTATGATAAAAAAATCACCTTGTATAGTTCATATAATAAAAATTACTTTTATTATATGTTGACTTATTACTGTTGACATTTCTGCTTAAGCTGAATTGATTTAATATAAATATATTTAACACAATTACCCATAGTGGTATGAATAATTTGTATGAATCAAATAATTATTAAAAATATTCTCTTAACTTGATATGTAGAATAATAAACTTCATTGAATCCAGTACAGCAAGTACTCTACTATAATACTGCTGTAAAGTTTCAAACCAAATATATTCCAGAAATATTACAGTGTGTAGCCATCGCGTTCAGACTTCAGTCGTTCTTGATAGACAGACAAATTACTTTTGTATCACCTAAGATGACACAAAATAATGACTGCTTTTAATGGCGTTCGTAGTGCTGTCCGTAATATTAATTACACTTGTATTTTGTACTTAGTCTTCTACTCCGAGTATTTAATTTCGTCCTATATATATATATATTCTATTGGAGACTGGCCAAACCTCTCAATATTATTTTTTTGATTTTTTAACGTAAATTATCAGACTTAGAACTAGTATTTTCCTGGAAGGTGAAAGTATCTGCATGCCAATCAATGCTTTTGTTAGTTCACAGATTGTACCTTGTACCGTACAAGCTACTTGAAAGTGTTTTAGTATGGCTTATCAGTAGAGCGATGGAAAAAATACACAATGCACAATTATTTGTATTTTTCGCCAGTTTGACTTAAAGACTTAAAACATTTAGGAAAATGTACAGATTGTCGGTAATTATATTTTGATTTTAAACCGACCATTGGAAAGAGACTGGTTAAAAATCGTCTGTAAAAGAAGGTCCACAATTCACCGTGTCATGTGAAATACTTTTTCCTGATTAGTTGGTATCAACGTGTAACCATTATGTTACCGCAATATATTCAACTTTTGACCGTGCACGACACATCAAAGCGAGTTGTGAACCCCCCCCCCCCCTTAATAGTTTAATTAGTTTCTCATCAGTTATCACTTAGTCCTGTTTCTTTTTGTTATACTGATTTTATTTAGGAAAACAGGCTGATGTGACAAAACAATTTTTTTTATATTGTAGCACCCAATTTAAGATATGGATAAATAAGCGACAAAACAAAAGTATAAACACCGAATTCACATAAAAACTTATAATTCGGTTCTATGCGCAGTCTCAGCTAAACGGTCGTTGACGCGTTGCAAAGAACCAGCTGCAATGAGCCCTAATATTAACCCTATAAAAACCATTTTTACACACAGTATGGGTACCTTTGTAGTATATTATACTTATAAACAAGCCTACATCCTAATCTATAATAATAATATATTTATCACGCTTTCCCTGTATGTATAAGCAACAGCTGAATGCGGGTGCGTTTTTGTTTTGTTTTTATAGTTCATGTAACGCCGTCCACTGCATTTGACACAGGCCTGTCGCATTCAAGTACACGAGCAATTTATCATATCCTCTATAAAAATGAATTAAATATTATTATGAAGAGCCTGTAATAATAATAATTATTGTATAATTAAAATAATTGGCGTGTTATGGCGTTTAGCTTTCGTTTACGGATTGGGACCGTTCGACATAATTTTGCAGCGTTAGTGACGGCGGTGCTCGGTGACATATTATTCTATACACACTCATACACACACACACACACACACACACATATATATATATATATATATATATATTTAAAAGGCAAAATCCACTATATTATATATACAAACAGAGACATTCAGTCGGTGTAATTTATCGGCGACAAGCCCTCGGATAGCAGCACAAGGGCCTCGCGTTATTTATTGGCTGATGTGCGCGTCACGGCCACCTAGAGCGGATAATTTTAATTAATTAAACACACTCGCACGCGCCGTCGACTTAATGAACTCGATCGAAATTATATATATTTTTGGGCGGTCGGGTAGTGTAAATTGTAACATTCATTAGAGACCGACCTATCATATTATTAACTTACAGTCGTATAATATATTTATTCTTTTTTTTTTTACACGCTAAACTAACAAAAAATGTCCATTGTAATCATTAAAACGTGTTAGCCACCGCCGGTGTATGCATATGTGTATATTGTTTTAGTCATATTGTGCGGGGAGAGGTAAAATGATTATTATTATAATATAAATACGGGTTTTTTGAAAATGTGTATATGTGCTCTTTATAATAATCATCAACCACACATAATATACCGGGAGTGCCATTAATTCAG